ATGCTAAATTGTATAAAAATAATTATGACAAGTTATGGAGCAAAGTTCAAAAGGATTTGATGGAGTGGAAGAAATTACAGTTATCATTATTGGGAAGAATTGCAGTGATAAAAATGAATGTTCTCCCAAAGTTTCTTTTTTTGTTCCAGATGATACCTATTTTAAAAAAGGATTCAAATTTGGAGGAGTGGCAAAGAGGGATCAACAGGTTTATCTGGCAGGGGAAAAAACCTAGGGTAAAATTTAAAATTTTGCAAGATGCACGGGAAAGAGGGGGACTTAAAGCCCCTAATTTAAAATTATATTATGAAGCAGTGGTTTTAACTTGGATTAGTGATTGGATTAATTTAACTAATAGAGATATTTTGATACTCGAAGGTTGGGATTTATATTATGGATGGCATGCTTATTTATTTTTTGATAACAAAATTGATCGTGTTTTTAAATCTTATATTTTGAGAGATGCACTTTTGAGAGTTTGGAAAAAGTATTCTTATAAGGTAAATTTAAAAATCCCAATGTGGGCTATTCTGGAACATGCAATACAAGGAATTATAAGAGGTGTAAAATTAGAAGGAATTGTTTACAAAGATCTACTCATGTTAAGAGGACAGGACTGGCAAATTAAATCATTGGATGAGTTAAGACAGGATAATGTACTCCAGTCCTGGTTTTTATATTTCCAATTGGTTGAGAGATGGCATATAGATCAAAAATTGGGTTTAATTGTAGAAGATGTGAACTTGATAAAACAGATTAAAGATAAATGATACTTTTTATTTAAATTTTATGTTATCTGATTGTTGTGAATACTCTTATATTTCCGATCTTATCTATAAGTAATTATAATTAATAAATAATATATCAGTATTTATAAGTAATTATACTCAATTAGTAATATATTATTAATAGTACATTAATTATTGTTATTCGTAGAACGAATGATATGTATTGGTTAACTTCTCACTCTTATTATTAGTGATAAATCTATTTAACATACCTGTTTAGTATTATATTAACTATAGACATTTAATATGTATACCCGGACGGTAGTCTGCTTGCTGAAGCGTTGATTTATTGTTGGGGGTAACCCCACTATTGTACCTATCCCTACCTTTGGTTTAATCCTTGTTCTATACCCTATGTTATACCCCTACCTATTTCATTCCCTCCCCATCCCTATAAAATCCAATAAAATATACATAAAAAAAAGAATGTTGATGCTGTCATCTAGCTGGACAGTTGGAAGGAATAGAAACCTCAAATATACTGTTTCTCCTCAAAATGCATAAAATTCGCTTTCTCTTCAAGTCGAAATCATGCTGACCCAAGGTATATGAAAAACAATATTACATTTTCTCTTTTTCTAGCAAAGGTTTATGGTATTCTTTTTCAGTCACTGTATTGAACTTATTTGTAACAAACTTATTTATAAAACTGACTCATGACACTGTTACATTATTTTTTTTGTCCAAGTGTAATTTATATGGATTGAATGTAAGTTGCCAATGAAATACTTCACTTATATAAACTTAAAGTAATATAATTTAAAGTATTTTTTTCCTGCCTATCATTCTGCCTGTCCCATTCACTTTTTTGATACCAGCACTTACTATAGCTGTTAACCCCTAGTTTACTGTGTCAGAAGCAAACATCTGTGTCAGAAGCAAACATGGAGCACTGGGGAACTACCAGAGGACTGGAAAAGAGCTGATGTAGTTCCCATCTTCAAAAAAGGAAAAAAAAGGACCCAGGAAATTACAGACCTATCAGCCTGACCTCAATGCCTGGGAAGATTCTGGAAAAGATAATCAAACAACGAATCAGCGAACCCCTGCAGGCAAACAAAGTCATTACTAAAAGCCAACACGGGTTTGTCAAAAACAGATCATGCCAGACAAATCTTATTGCATTCTTTGACCAAGTGACAAAATTAGTGGACCAGAGGAATGCTGTGGATATAATTTACTTGGACTTCCGTAAGGCATTTGACAAAGTAGATTACAACCTACTAATTGATAAGATAGAAAAATGCGGGTTAGACAGCATCACCACCAGATGGATCCGTAGCTGGCTGACCAGCCGTACTCAGCGTGTGGTCCTCAATGGAACCGCATCTACATGGAGGGAAGTGTGTAGTGGGGTGCCCCAGGGCTCTGTTCTGGGCCCAGTGCTCTTCAACATCTTCATCAACGATCTGGATGAGGGGATAGATGGGGAACTCATCAAATTTGCAGACAACACCAAGCTGGCAGGAATAGCCAACACTCCAGAAGACAGGCTTAGGATACAGGAGGATCTGGACAGACTTGAACACTGGGCGCTATCTAACAAAATGAAATTCAATGGTGNAATTCAATGGTGAAAAAAGTAAGGTTCTACATTTAGGCAAGAAAAACCAAATGTACAGGTATAGTATAGGGGGTACCTTGCTCAATAGTAGTAACTGTGAGAGGGACCTCGGAGTCCTAGTGGACAATCATTTAAATATGAGCCAGCAGTGTGCTGCAGCTGCCAAAAAAGCCAACACAGTGCTGGGCTGCATTAACAGGGATAGAATCAAGATCACGTGAAGTATTAATACCACTTTACAATGCCTTGGTAAGGCCACACTTGGAATACTGCATCCAGTTTTGGTCACCACAATGTAAAAAAGATGTTGAGATTCTAGAAAGAGTACAGAGAAGAGCAACAAAGATGATTAGGGGACTGGAGGCTAAAACATATAAGGAACGGTTGCTGGAATTGAGTATGTCTAGTTTAACGAAGAGAAGGACAAGGGGGGACATGATAGCAGTGTTCCAATATCTTAGGGGCTGCCACAAAGAAGAGAAAGGCTATTCTCCAAAGCGCCTGAAGGCAGGACAAGAAGCAACGGGTGGGAACTAACCAAAGAGAGAAGCAACCTAGAACTAAGGAGAAACTTCCTGACAGTTAGAACAATTAACCAGTGGAACAACCTGCCTCCAGAAGCGGTGAATGTGCCAACACTGGAAGTTTTTAAGAAGAAACTGGACAGCCATTTGTCCGAAATGGTATAGGGTTTCCTGCCTGAGCAGGAGGTTGGACTAGATGACCTCCAAGATCCCTTCCAACTTTATCATTATTATTATCATTGGTTCTCCATTAGTGAGTCCACATGATCAATAGTATTCCAACCTTGCCACTTTCCTGCAACTTGATCATTCCTTCTAAATACATAAGGGAAAAAAATAGGATGAAAAATCAAATAATGCTTTATTTTCTGATCCACTACATAAGAGAGACACATAAACTTCCTAATCCTGAGCCTGGTAACTCCTGACAACAACCATTTTTTTCCACAAATAATTGATAAAACAAGAGTTTACATAAAAACTTTGTCTTAAAAAAAATAAAGGCTTATACAATCATTCTTGATTAGTAACCACAATTGGGATCTGCATCATGGTCACTAAGTGGAAAATCACATAACTGCAATGAGCTTCCATCTTCGCTTCTCTTTCAGTCATTAACTGAATTTCCATGGTCATTAAATGAAACCTGTGCCTGCAACGTATGATTTTACTTCTTCATTCTCTATTAATTCTGCTTGTTGCAAGCTACTTGTGAAGCACCTGCATAGTGATCACATGACTGTGGACCATTGCAATGGTCATGAATGCAAAGATGTGTTGCTAACTATTTGTTTTATATCATGATAACTTTGAGGAGTTACTAAGTGAAGCAGTTGGTAAGTGAGTACTTGTATAGAGAGCATAAAGGTGCCCAGTTGAGTTCATGGTATTTGAAGACAGCTGAGAAAGACTCCTAGTTAAAATCTGGAAGAACACGTGCCAATGTTTAAGACAGTTTTAAGTTAGATGGACACAGCTTAATTTGTTGCAAGTTAACTTCCTTATAGAGTACAGTACTTCTTCCTCTGAACACAGGAGTAAAGTTTCAGTGACTAATGAAAAAGCAAAGTGCTCTACTTCTACACTCCAGTCTAACCATTGAGATAAGTTGATACTCTTCAGCAAAACCAAAAAAAACTCCAAATAACCCTGGTGATTTCCTTGACTATGGAGAGTCTCAATCATCTAGGTCATGGTTGTGCCAAAAGTACTTTTTCAAAAGGCAACTGGACTTTCTTCAGTTCTGAAGAAGCTTCTTGGATAAGAAATGAAACGCATTCAGATGAAAAAAAACGAGAAAATCTAGTTGCCTTTTAAAAGAGTACCTTTGGGACATGTTGATTTCCTTCTGTTCCTGCACAGAAGATGTCACAGTCAGCAAAGTGGGTGCTCATGGTTTTATTGTAGTGTCTAGGTGTTGGGTCACTTATCTTGATGTCCTATATCAAAATAATATTTTTTCAAAGTTTTTATCAAAGAATATCCATTTGCAATTTCACTCAGACTTAGTTCCTGTGTTCCTTGGCTGTGGAAGTCATACGTACATTTGAACATTATTAAAATCCCTTTAATTAATGAGATTTTATATCTAAGTAAACACGTAGGATTTTACCAGTAATATCTCTTGCACTCAATCAAGTTCATCTTTGTGTTTTGTTTATGATTTCTATAAATTGTTTCTGGATATATGATATTTCATTAGTTTAATGATATTTTAAATACTTTCTGTGGTAATTTGAAGATGTGCTCTGCATTTTTTTTCTCTGAACAACAGATTTGTTTAGAAATATATTATTGTGCCAATGTTTATTCTAGGTCCACAAGCTAAACTGCTACTTGATGCTATGAAGAATTCTGGCTGGTGAGATAATTTATGTCCAAAAATTATTATATGAATGCTATATATCAGTGATGGTGAACCTTTTAGAGACAGAGTACCCAAACTGCAACCCAAAACCCACTTATGTATCATCGGGTGCCAGGTTGACGTGGCCCATTGGGTGGGCGTGGCTGCGGTGGTAATGGCAGACTGGGTGGGACTAAAAAGTTCAAACAATCAATTCCAACTTTGCGAGATCTTTTGTTTCCTGCGAGAAGTTGAAATTGATTGATTGATTGAACCTTTTTTTTTTGCACATGGCGGCGGAGGCCTAAAGCGAAAAGGTTCTATAAACCCAGCTGAAGGTCTAGGACTGGGGCGATGGCGCGCATGCCATAGGTTCGCTACCACGGCTATATATTATATTTGTTATATGTGTGACTCTTCAATTCTTTTAGTGCTGTCATCAATAACCGACACATTTCATGTGAAAATTGTGATAAATATGTTGGTGGAGGATTTGATTCTTCAGTATCACAGGTAAATTGCTATTTTTTTCTACCTAATGTTTACAGCTTTTTATGCTCTGTTATGTTAGTAAAACAAAATAGTTAAGTTATGTAGTCAGTATTAAATAGTAGAGTTTAATTAGAATGTTTATGTTAATATCAAGTAATAGTTTATAAATATTGATTTTAAACCCTCTGATTTTTTTATTGGGTTAAAATACTCAATAGTTTTTTTTCCCCTCATTTCTTTGTAAGCTACTTTCATTATATTAAAATAAATGGTGTTATTTCTAGATAACCATAGCAGGAAGTCAAATAAATTAGGAACAGCTGTCCAAACCACCTCTGATCACAGTGTTTCTGATGCACAAGCAGACGGGGGGGGGGTGTATATTTTTTATTCAGTATTTTTAGTAAGTATAGATCATGATAGAAATGGCATTGTCAAGCGCCAGGGATATCAGGAGATGCAAGCAGTTAAAATGGTATAAAGATTTATTGTAAGCTTAAGCTCTCTATAAGAATCTGAATTACTAGTGGTCAAAGCAATTTGGTGGTAAAAGAACTCATGGTGGGCTGGACTTAGATCACTTGTGGGTATGAAGGGACTCATGAAAAATGATGCATTTGACTCCTCCCTCGCGCTCAGCCTGGTCATCTCCTATAGGCATTTTGTAATGATATCAGCTGATGTTTAGTTTTTAGTTTGTATTTTAATATGTATATTTAGTCTCTTGGAGGTTCCTCATGCCCAGAAAAGAAAAGAGAGGGGGAAACCAGATAAATAGTGCCCTCAAGTTCTCTAGCGCTACATCTAATGGATGGTTGAACAATGCTGTGTAAAGAACATTATGCTGTGAAAACTCTAAAAATAAAATGCATTCTTAAAATTTTGGGTTAACTTTGCAGATTGTACTTTGCCAAAACAATATACATAGTCAATCTCAAATGAACAGAGTGGTTGCACATGAATTTATCCATGCATTTGATCACTGTCGTGCTCATGTGGATTGGTTTAACAATATAAAGCACTTAGCCTGTTCAGAGGTAAGTTGAAAAACTTAGTTTTATAAATATATTTTAATAAGGATATCAAAAACGCACATAGCATAAATCTCATATCAACAGTTTCACTTACAATAAAGTCTTATGCTTATTTACTCAGAAAGTAAGTCCTGATGGTTTAAGTGAAACATACTTCTATACAAATTAGTAGAAGTTTATGATCTTATTATCATATTTTATGTTTCTTTGCTTGATTCCTGTTGTGAATATCAGTCTGTTTTCTAGGTAGGCTTCAACATTCACAGACTGTAGATATCTCAGTCTGTACCCACAAGTGAGACATGGTTGTTGTCCATGTGCACATGGAGATTTTCCAGTCCCTCCCAGTCGCCCAACTCAGGCTCCCAAAACATCTGTGTCTCTGCCTGAGCATGAGAAGAGGGGCCAGGCTCCTTGTCTGACTGTGAGTCTTGGTGCTCCTCAGTACCTTCTTCAGACTCCAATGTCACTTCCAGATCCTCCTCCTCATCTGAGTCCTCAGACTCGGCTGCTGGATCTACTGGCTGCCGAGGAATCACAACACTATCCCGCACTGCAGGACCCTTCCCCTGGATCTGACGGGCCGGATGCGGTCGTGAAGGGAACTGTTTATGGAACGCCGTCACCAAGGCAGGAGCATGCATGGTGGTCGTATCCTCCCAGGTGAACTACTTTGGTCCATAGCCCTTCCACTCAATCAGATACTGGAATCGGCCTTTCAGCCAACGGGAGTCTCGAATACTGATGATCTCATACTTGGGAGCGCTGTCTTCGTCACGGTGTTCCAATAGGGGACATTCTGATTGGCAGAGTGGACATGCCGGTTGTTCTGGGACCAAGAGAGACCAGTGAAAGGCCGGATGTATCCGTAACAACCGTGGCAAGGTTAACCAATAAGCGACCAGGTTAATGACGGCTTCGATAGGGAACAGTCCTATGTACCGGTGGTCCAGTTTCTTGGCAGGCTGGTCTGATGGAAGGTTCCTGGTTGACAGCCATACCCGATCTCCCATTGTTAATGTAGGTATATCTCACTTCTACCGATTGGCGACTTTCTTGTAATCTGCCTTGACCTTATCTAATTGTCGCCACACCAGTTGATGGATAGCCTGTAACTCGGTCAGATATTCGTTAGCTGCAGAAACTGGCGAGTCGAGCTGCGAGAGGGGAAAAAGCCAGGGATGATATCCCACATTGACTAGGAACGTGGAGGTGTGCTGTGAGTTATTAAAAGCTACTGCAAGATAGTCGGCCCAATTGTCCTGTTGCTAATTCACGATACAGCGCAGGTATTGTTCTAGGATTCTGATTACTTTCTTGGTCCCCCGCCATCCATTTGCAGATGATGCACCGACAAAAGGCAGATTTGTACGTCTTGGGTTTTCATCAACCCTTTCCAGAAATGGGCCATAAATTGAGCCTCTCTATCCGAAATGACGGCAAAACCTGCTGGATGAAAATGCAAATGGTGGTGCGGGCTGATGGCAAGGAATGAAATGTGCCATCTTGGTCAGCATGTCCACCACCACAAACACCGTTGTGAAGCCAGAAGACAGGTTAAGCCCATTAAGAAGTCCATGGACACTGTTCCCCAGGGTCTCTCGGGCATCGGCAAGGGCTGAAGTAGACCCGGTGGGACCCCTGTCGCTGACTTCGCTGCCTACACCGTATACAAGATGTGACGTAGGTCTGGACATCGTGTCATACTCGGGGCCATCAGAATGTATGGGAGACTAGGTTCAGTATCTTGAAAAGGCCAAAATGCCCCGCCGACAGATTATCATGACATTGAATGAGAATGAGTCCTCTGAGCGGCCCTCCCGGAACATAGAGCCAATCACGATATTTCAGGAGTCCATCCGTGATGGTCCATTGGGAGTCTGGCTCCAGCTCCTCCTTTCGTTGAGCCACCCATGCATCATGCTGTGCCTCCCGAATCCGAGCCCATAAATCTATTGGTTTTCAAATTGCAGAGAAAGACTCTAAGGGCAGAACTGTCCTGGGCAGAAGCTTGTCTTCCATATGGAAATATTCTGGTTTCCTTGAAAGAGCATCCACTCTTTGGTTGCGACCACTTGGTATGTAGATAACACAGAAATTGAACCTAGCAAAGAAGAGAGACCACTGAATCTGTCGGTTCAATTTCCAGGCAGTCTGCAAACTTTCCAGATTCTTGTGGTCCGTCCGGACTTCAATTTGATGCCGAGCCCCTTCCAAATGATGTCTCCAGGCCTCAAACGCCACTTTAATGGTTAGTAGCTCCTTCTCCCAGATGGTGTAGTTGCACTCGGCTGGATTAACTTTCCGCGAATAGTGTGCGCAAGAGGGCACCACCGGGTGCGTGAGCCTGGAGTAACACTGGTCCAACGGCAATATCGGACGCTTTTGCTTTCACGACAAACGGCTGTTGCAGGTCAGGGTGGTTCAAGATGGGTTCTGTAAGGACCCACTTCAACTAACCACCCAAGAAAGCAGAACTCTTGAAATAAGCATTGTCTCAAAAGGATACTTTTATTAGGGGTCAGTGACAGTAGGGAAGTCAAGGCGAGATCTGGGGAAAATCCCACGCAAACGGTATAATTAAGCAAGCAATATTCCTCCTCCCACTAAAGTCATAATGTCCATTTGAAATTCAGCCAATCCAAAGGTGGTATGATGTGCAGGTAACTGGCATAGTTGTTGTGCATCTCTTCTCCAGCTTTTGTTTCTCTGTAATCGTCTCCCTGATAAGTGAGACACATTCCTTTCTCAAGGATAGAGGCAGGAGAGGGAAAGTAGAAAGCAAAAGTTATCCCAAGCTCTCCCTCCTCCCAGCAGAAAGGCAGGCCCCAAAAGTAGAATATATATACAAGGGAAAACAGAGGTTTTGGGGTCCTGACAGGTTCCTTCATAAAAGCTTCCTTTAAAGCCTGGTGGGAGGTTTCAGTTTTTGGCTTCTTTATTGTACGTGCCGAAGCTATGTAGCAAATAAAGGATTCTTTAAGGTAAATAAGCCTCAAAGTTCTTTGAAAAGCTGCTTCTTTTTGGAACCATGTCAGCTTGTTGCTCCAGACTGCCCCGAAGCAAAACCGGGGATGAAGGTTCTATAGTAGATGGCGAACCCAAGGAGTCACTGGACATCTTTAATGCAACCTGGGGTTTGCCAACTACACAGGGGCTCGACCTTGCTCAGCTACATGGCAATGCCCTCAGGAGAAATAAGATGACCTAGGAAATCAATGGTTGTTTGCTAGAATTGGCATTTCTCCAGTTTGGCATACAAATGATGAACTCGGAGCCATTGCAGGACCTAACGGAGATGCTGGTGATGCATCTCCCACGAAAGGGAGTAGATCAGAATGTCATCCAAATAGATCACGACAAACTGATCTAACAGATCCCGGAATATGTAGTTCATGAAGTGTTGGAAGACTGCAGGGGCGTTGGTCAGCCCAAATGGCATCACTGTATACTCGAAGTGCCCATACCGGGTGCCAAATGCTGTCTTCCATTCATCACCAGGCCGGATCCTAACAAGATTGTAGGCTCCTCTCAGGTCCAATTTTGTGAAGAGTTTTGTTGTGGCTCCGTCCTGTGGGTCCCTATCATCGGAGGAGGAAGGCTCTGAACATGAAAGAGAGGAGATGGCCAGGCCTCCCTCTCCAGGACCTTCCCCTCTGGTGCGGCCTTCGGTGTCTTCCGACGGAGAGGAGATTGGCCAGGAGCCAGGTGTTTCTGGGATCGGCCAGGAGCCAGGTGCTTCTGGGATTGGCCAGGAGCCAGGTGCTTCTGGGATTGGCCAGGAGCCAGGTGTGTCGGACTCTGAGGAGGATACNAATACTGAATCTTCTGTTGTAGCACTTCGGAATTATCCTGGACTTTGATTTGTATTTGTACTGTGAGTTATCAGTAAAGGTCTTGGCAGGCAGCCACGGAGTTGCTGCCAAGTGTTTATCTGTGTTTGGCAGTGCTGAGCAGTCTTTTAGCCCTCGGCTGACTGGTTGGGGGGTGTGAGTCGGACGGGGGACAGAACAAGTTTTGCCTCTCAGAGCCGTTCCAGAAGTTTTGGGATGAGAGGCAGTGGGTATCAATTATGCACCGTAATGGCATTTAATTTGTGATAGTCACAACAAAGCCTTAATTCCCCAGACTTCTTTTTTACAAAGACAATGGCGAAGATGAGGGCGGGATAAAACCCTGAGCCAACGCGGCCAACTCGGGGTCTGACATGGAATATAAACGCCCCACTGGGAGAGGCGTGTCAGGGACTAAGTTGATGGGGCCGTTATATGGCTTGTGTAGAGGCAATTGATCCACCTCAGTCTCGCTGAACACATCAGCCTAAGTTGCCAGTTTGGAGGGCAGGGAGACCCCTGGGGGATCCACCACCTGGCTGGCACAAACTTAGCGGGTGTGGTCCAGAAAGATGACCAAGTTCTGGGACCAATAAATCTGCCGGTCATGCGTCTGGAGCCACGCCAATCCCAAGACCACAAGGAAATGCAGGTTGGAGGTTATGTAAAATTGAATGGTCTCCTGCGAGCTGATGGCCATACCCAATGGTTGCGTGGCAGCTTTAATTGGCCCAGACAGGAGCACTCGGCAATCAATAGTCTCTACTAACAGAAGCGGTTCCACGGGGCATTGGGGAACAGCCCATTTGGCCACAAATGCCACGTCCATAAAGTTTGTGGTGGCCCCAGAGTTGATCAAGGCGTGTACCGGAATCCCCTGTGGCTTCCCAGGGAGGAGCTGTGTGCCGCCAATATCAAGTGCTGTGGGGGTCCGAGTGCAGCATCCGATGGATGTCGCTCGGGGTCGGGAGAAGCCCAACCCAAAACGCATTTTAGGTTGGGCTCGGGACATTTCACGACAGATGAGGTTGTTTTTATGGGACAGGCTCGGTAGCTGATGCCCCTCGTCATTTCTTGGAGCAGAATGCAACCAAATGCCCAGGTTCTCCACAGTAGAAACACAACCCCCCCAAACGCCATCTATTTATTTCTGCCACCGATAGGCAAGGTCTGGCAGCACCTAACTCCATAGGCTCTTGCCATAGAACCGGGGTCTCGTGCACAACTGGGACCGCCTGGGTTTCTGGGATGGCACGGTGACTCCTACGCTGCTGCAACCGAGCGTCGATCCGCAAACAGAGATGTATCAACCCATTGAGGTCTGGGGGAACATCGACAAGGGCCAGCTCGTCCAGCAGCCTTTCCGACAAACCATCCTGGAAAGCGTCCATGAATGCAGCTTCGTTCCAGGCTGAATCCTGGCTAAGCAGCCGAAACTCACTGATATATCACTGTAAAGGGCTTTCAGGCGTCTGGTAGGAGTCTGCATCTTAATGGGATTCTCGTACATGAGACGCATGTAGGCTGGACCAGCAGGGGTGTGCCCAATGGGCCGCAGGGCCAAATAGGAGGCTGATCATAAACCCCATTTTATCTCGATCAGTGGGGAAGTCCACCACTCTCAGACTGATAAAGAGTTGGTATTGTCCCCAAAAAACTGGAAACATATCCAAAGTGCCATCAAATTTATCAGGCATTGCTACTGGACACTTCCGCCAGGGTTGTGGATCAGCAGGAGCTTGACACTGAGCAACGTGAGCTGCCAGCAAAGCCAGCTGTTGGGAGAGCTGGGCATTCTCTGCACATAACTGCTCCATGACAGTAACCCTGACATTTGATTTGTTTTAAGTTATATAGAAATATATGAAGTACTAAGACAAAAATCATTATGTTATGCACCATTTTTTCTGGATTGTTTGCAGCAAAGTTTTAGTCTATATATGTGTGAGTATGTGCTTGTGTCTATGTACTCTTATAGCAGATCCAGGCTTTGTAAAGAGAGTGAGATAGAGTTAAGAGAGGGCTATGGAAACATGAATGGTTTTTAAATGACTAATGTGTTCTTATCTTCAGTGAATATAACAACATATTCACTTGTCTATTCTCTCCTCCCTCTTTCATCTAGAGCAGCCTAAAAATGTCACAAGGGAGCTAGCTTGTAAAACTGCAGCATGTTTTGCATCTTTCAAGTAATGATTTAAGTTATTGTTTGACCTCAGCAGTGTGTCCCTCTAACCCTCACTGCAAGTAAACTTTTAAAAGCAAACACATAAAACAACCTATAATATCTCCACTCAGTTATTTAAATTAGTATAACAATAGTTTTGCAAACAATCAAAAACATCAGCTAATTTATCTTTAAGATAAAGAATAATAGTTCTTTCCCCTTTTTTGTCTTGGTTCCAGGGAATAAGCATCCTGCCTCACGTGATTTAGAAAGAGCTTTATAGTTTGTAAACACAAGGAAAAGAAATTCTGATCTATGGCAGTTATATGATCTTTTCCCACTGATATGTCCTTTGAATTGAACTTGGTACCTTGTGACTTCATGGATGTATCCAATTCTATCATAATTTGCCATTGCCTCCTCAGATTTTTTAAAACTTTTCTTTCTAATATAATAATTCTGGTACTATCTAGTGATGTCTCATTCAAGGACTAAGCAGAGCCCACTTGTATAGCTTCAAAACTCCGAAAGGATAGGTTAGATACTGCCACCTACTGAGATAATCAGAAGTTTACTGACTGATAAATGTCCATCAGATCTTAAGAGGTGCCATTTAAGCTAGCCTGGATAGTATTACCTAGAGGTTGGAGAAAATGAAATCATTGCTAAGTCAGAATATCAACTCCTATTGTCTCCATGGATATGTTCATCTAGTTTATTGGCAGCAGTGTGGGAATAGTTTAGTACAGTTTTGGAGTGCTTTTTAAACACCTTTTTGTCTAGCCTATAGCCTTGGAGTTTCCTGGTGTATCCCAACCATCCCAACCAAGCATTAATAAATGATTGAATAATTAATAAAATAAAAAATTAATAAAATCATGTCTTCTTTAGTTTTTTGCGATCAGCCATGTTCAGCTGGATACTACTGTTTAGCTCAATATTTCTCAACTGGGGAATTCTGGTCATTGAAGTCCACACATCTTCAAGTTTCTGAAGTTGAAAACTACTGATCTAGTTGGATGAGTAAGATCATGTTCTATATGTCTAAAATGAGATTAAGGTGATAGTTTTTCAGCCGTTATGTTTTAATAGCATCCCTGAAGAATGGCTATATGAACAACCAAAAGAATTCAATTATTCTAAACCATTTGATTGTTGAAGCTCTTTTTAGCAATTACACAACAAATTGGAAATGGACAGTTTTGCAGCCATTCAGACAAAAGGTTTGGAATGGGATACTATGCTAACTTTCCTATAAATATTCTACTCAGTTTGTGCATCTTTTGTAGATTCGGGCATCTAATCTCAGTGGTGATTGTTCTTTCATAAATGAGATGATGCGGTTTAGATTTGGGCTGAAGCAGCATCAGCAGGTAAGTTAATAATAATCTATAAAAGAAGAGATTTGGGTTCATGTTTTCATTTGAGGTAATTTCTTCTGTAATTTGAAGCTTAGCAAACAATTTCTTACGAAGGAACATAGTGTCAATAGACATGAAAAAGATAAGAACAGGTTTTTGTCTCACTCATGCTCTCTCTTTCTCTGTGTGTGTGTGCATGTGTGTATGTATATATATGTATGTATGTATGTATGTATGTATGTATATATATAGATAAAATGAAAAATAATGCCTTCATTTCCATAATTTTAGCTGAAATAGGGATGTTGAAATAGATGGAACAGAAAAATAATCCTCAAAATAAGCTGTTTTGAATTTATTTCCCCATAGAAGCAAATTCTCTGAACATGTTTGTCAATGATGAACAAGTTTCTTCAAGAATGAAAGAACTTCGCATTTTGGTCTTCCATCAGGTCCTCACAGAGAGGATAAGATAGTGAATCCACCTTCACAATTGTGTCTAGGGTGACTTATGTGTTGTGAAGCCTAGCATTGTCTTGTAGAGTCAGAAGTTTTTTCTTCCATATTCTACTTAATTGTTTTTTCGAAATGACAAAGGTAGAGGAAGTAGAAAGGATTATCAAGACCTGGTGGAAGAGACAGAATGTGAAATACTTTTGTGACAGCTTTTAAAAACGTCCATCAAGAGAATGGTGCACTGAATGGTGGTGATTATATGGAGATGTAAATACAGTAAAAAATAGCTTTCAATTTTTTTTGAGTTTTATCTATTAAAATATTCCTATTTAAACTAAAATTATGGAAGTGAAAGCAATACTTTTCATTCATCCTTCATTTAAAAGAAGGGGGATTAAGGATGCGACACTTACTGTTTATTGGACAGATCAATTCTTTCATAATTTAGCCAATCTTGGATTATATTTCTCAGTGTTGATATGTACATTCCAAATTATGGAACATTATTTTTATGATTAGAAACACTAAGATTACTTGTTTATTTGGACTTGAATAAAATAATTGTTCATTGCTATTTGCTAGTAATCTATAGTTCAGGACTACTTTATATAGGCCTTGGGTGCCCCACAACATTTATGAGGTAATAAATATATTAAACTATTTCTGGCTACTCCTTTGAAAATGGCTATTATTCTTGAAATCATATAATCAGGTAATCTAGACATGTGTATTTCAAATAATGGAAGTCCTAGATATAATGAAAGTCTGAATTTATTCATTGATCTAAAATTACTGCAAAAGCATTACAAATGTTTATGATTTTTTAAAAATGATACAGCTGATAAGGTATCCTCATAAATTATTTGTTATTAACTGTTGAATTGTACATTATGGTATCTTCCAAATGATACATTTAATGTGGAAAAAGAAAAAAAGCCTTTTGAGTTAGATAGCAATACATTGGAAGATATCCATGGAACTTATAATTATTACCTATTTATTAGATAATATTTATATTACCTAATATTATATAAACCTAATTGTTTGTTTAATAAAAGCTTCAGTTGATTAGATGTGTTTTGGCCCTTTTTATCACCTGTTTCAGACTTGTGTAAAGATGAAAGCTGTTCGCTCCATGTTGGCTGTTAGAAATATCACTAAAGAGATGGCAGAGAAAGCAGTAGATGAAGTCTTTGAATCCTGCTTCAATGATCACGAGCCATTTGACAGAGTGCCTCATAGCAAATTGGATGCAAAGTATGCATATAGAGGTTTTCAGAACCGTCACCGTTACTATCAAAATTTATGAATGAAAACTGTTCGTGTCTAGGTCCAAACTACCACATTAGAGGATAATTGGAGTCCCTGGAGAGATTATATCCAATTTGTTTAATTTCCATTCTGTGTTTCATTTCCCTAATTGATCTAATAATTACTATTTTATTCAACAAGCAAAATGGATATTTGTGAACATAGGCATCAATTATGAAAGTAGCATCTCATTGCAAGCTCAGTAACTTTTGTTTATTTGCTTTTGTATTGAGGGGAACAAAAGGGGAGAAACTTGCCACAGGACTGAGCTGTATTAATTTTGGCTTTCAGATGTCTGTGTTTGTGTATATATTACTATATCAATTAGTTTTGCATTTTTTTTCATCATTTGAATAAAGGTCATTTTAATTGCATGTAGTTTATGCCAAGTGGTTGGACAGTGTGATTTTGTCATTTAACGTAATGTAAAGATCATCAAACTCAGAGTTGTGTAATAAAACAATATGTAAAAAAACCCCACTCAAACAAAATCATAAAATTCGTCTTTTGTAGCGTATTCAGAATGCATCCCAAATACAGTGTTTACTACATACTAGCCATTTTTATTCATTCCTGCCCTGGATTGATTGATGTTTGTAAGATTTGTTTGATATTTTTTTTGTTTTTAAACTCTGATCTCTACACAAATTGAAGCAACATCCCAAACTGAATTGTAGCCAATCTGAACCCTCCAATGACTTTTATTTTTTCACTAGAATTGGATAAAAATTGCAGGAACTTTAGGAGACCACGAAGAAGTGGAGGAAGCCAAACATCATAACGACTGGTGAATGAGTTTTTAAATAACAGTCAGGGGTGCCTCTACCCAATTCCTAGGAAAGAAAAACCCTTGGCTTCATAGAAGCCAAAATTTGCAGCAAAAAGAAATCTTGTAGTGACAAAAATCTATCAGATTTCAGGCAGATAGATTAATGTGTTGGGGGAGTGTTTGCTGCACAATGAAAGAATAGGATGGTGTCAAAGAACAATGTCGTTCAAAATGCAGTTGTAGAAGAGTCAGAAAGTATACTCACTAAATTCAGTGATTTCTCCCATCCTCTTTGAACTGTTTTTGGGGGAGTGTAGTTTTTTGTTTGTTTGCTTTTGGTAAATAGCTTTGTGGACAAATTGGAATTGCTGCATTTCCCTTTGAGAAAATTGTTCTGATCCATTCTGGATTTGGGATTCACACCAAGTCTTATCCATTCCTGCTCTCTATATGTGTTTGTGCGCCTCATATTAAAATAATTCTTTAGTATTAATTGAATAATTCTGTACTAAAGAAGACATGCTCAAATATATGTGCCTGACAAATATAAAGTTTTGCATTAAAAAATCCAAGAACTTGTTAAGTTAAGTTGACTTTGAAAATGCAGCACCTGTCTTTGAAATGGAACATTACAGTGGCTCATAGCAATTTAAGAAAAAAAGCAAGAATTAAAAAAATAAAAATGGCTAACATACAACTATATCAAAACCACTGTTAAAAAAACCTCAAGCACAATAGCATAATCATAATCAGAAGATAAATACAATCAATACATCCAGTTCAGTATAACCATTAAAGTGGCTCCCTGTAGACTGCCAAATGCAGTGGCTCAACCATATCTTCAGGCCCTTCCTAAAGGCCGGAAAGGTTGGGACCAAAGTTCCAGGGGAATGATATTCCAAAGGTCGGCCATCATGGCAGAGGCACCTGTGGCAGGCCTCTTCTGCCACATCTGATGAGACTGATGGATATAACCAGGGATCTTGGTGGAGAGAATGACAAATGTTTTATATCAATTTGTATGCACATTTATTGTCCCATTGTGGAGCATTCTACAATTCTATCCATAATTTTCTAATCCATAAGCAACTAACCCCCTCCTCATGTTTCATGTCAAGGTTTTTTAAATCTTGCTTTCAAGCAGTAATTTTATCAGTGACTATGTCATAGCTCCTGGCTGTAAAATGACTCGATATCAGAAGTAAAGTGGTTAGAAAATATTTTCTGCACTTATGAAGAAAATTACACACTAATTTCTTCAAAGATCCCTCTTTTTTTTTTCCAACAAAATTTTTTATTGGTTTTATTTTACATGGTGGCAAGGCCATCAATTAATCAAAACAAAATCATATTTGTACAATTCAAATTATTTCAATATAATTAACTCAGTTATACATATAACTAATCTATTATTATTTTAATATATCCTACTTCCCCTTAGGTCAATACTAGTAACTCTATTTCTATACT